GTGATTGCGCAATGGGCGTATTTCCGCAATAAGAGCATATATAAACCCTGTTGAGAGTTGAGACAGACTATATGTTGGTTTTGGTTTTAGTTTTGTGTTCCGCAAGTTGAAGTATTATTTGAAAGGTAAGCTTTTGTATTTTACCGTTTGGTACTGTGGTTATATGATATATTGATTCAGGTATAGATCTCATTAAGCCAGTATCGTGCAACAGATGATGGTCAACCTGCAGTTCTCAGAGTGAGAAAATGTTCATTCTTTTATTGTATATAGTAGTCTTGTACTTGGTGGTGAATAAATAGAATCGAGAAATGTAGTTTACTTGCTCTTTTAAGTGTCAACATTACTGAAGTTAGCCATGTTTGGCTTCACTCTTTGCATGGACTCGAGTTGTCGCTCCAGAAACATATGGAGCTCACTGCTCCAGACTTTGATCGGAGCGTTCCAGCTACATGATAGTGTTGGGAAAGCATTAAGCTACGTTTACACGCTTCGATTTGTCGGGCCGATTTTGGTAAATAATCGATGCCCCTTCTTCGACATTTAGCGATTTAAACGTTCAATTGAGGCTGTCCGCTCTCTCGTCTGTTCATGTTATAGTTATCTGCGTGCGAAAAGTTTTCAACAACTTTACAACGGAAGAAAAATCGTTGAATCGTGAGAAAAATCTGTGGTTTTGTTACAGTTTTTCTCCCGATTTTGTGAATCGCAAGGTGCTGACGCGAGTACTGACGACAGGTTATTTACATACAGCGAGCAAAATCGGCCCGACAAATCGCAGCGTGTAAACGTACCTTAAGACTGACAGCTAACCAAAGGCGCATGACTGTCAACTCTCATCCTCGTTTCATCCGCGCTCAATGTTTCTCAGAAGGCTTTGGATTTTTCTTATTATTTGCATTAGCTACCAACACTGGCACAGACAGTTTCCCAAGATCAATGTTTTTTTCTACAATTTATAGATAAAATTCAGTTGTGGAATTATCATGAAGACTTTTGCTATTGTTGTTTTGGCTTTCATTGTTGCTTTTGGCAACTGCGCAGATCCTACAGAGGAAAACGAAGTAAATCGTAAGTAATATCAGGTCGATTTCTATAACTACAATCATCTTCAAATGTATTTTTTTCTGTCTTGGTGTACAATGTACTAGGTGAATATATGATCCTTGTGATGTTACTCTGAGTGTAGATCCACACCGGGCAAGATCAGTTGGCAGAGCATTGGGCTAGTATTCCAAAGGTCGTAGTTTCGATTCCCACCGTGGCCAAAGCATCAGATTCAAATGTGTTGGAACAGATGCCCCTATATTATTATGACAAACTTTGATCCCCCCGCCCCCTTTTCTGTGGTCGGGTAAACAACATTGAATGAGAAGGGAGTTATAAATGTTTATAATAATTTGCATATATCCAGTGATGAACTAAAACCACAAATGTCCCAACAACTTTTGAAAATGATTGCTACCTAAATCATAATCCCAACCCTTAAATACTAATCTCAAACCTAACCATAATCGTAATCTTAACTATATAATCCAGATCTCACAATTTCATCTAATCTTAAACCTGGTTTACACTATCAAAGTTTCTGTGATCACAGTAGGAATTTTGCATCGGTAAATTCTAAGTTTTGAAGGATTTGTAAGAAATGTTTGAGGAAACTGACTCACTGTTTAACACTGAGTTAGTTTCCTCAAACATTTCTTACAAATCCTTCAAAACTTAAAATTTACCCATGCAAAATTCCGACTGTGATCACAGAAACTTTGATAGTGTAAACCTGCCTTTATAGTGATGTATAGTCTATTTGTCATAATTGCGTTCCATTCTATTTCAACAGGTAAAACGTTCTGCGATTGGCCTGATTGCACATGTTATTACTACAAGGATCCTTGCCCACAAGGATACTGGGATTGCCCTTCAACGAAATATTGTACTCTGCGAACCAACAAACCTTGCTGCCACAATTAACACAGAAACAGAAGCTTAATGGACAATTAATTAATATCAACGTTGGGCCTTCATGGAACAGTATAATTAAATTTGGTGTTATAGAACTATTGCGTAAAAATGCATGGGGTTTTTCCATGAGATATAATAATTGTAATGATTTTTGAATCGGTTTGCTTGCTAATAAATGTAGTCTTGTACGCTGTGTTTTATCGTGTATTGCATTCGTGTTGCTTGTTTGACAAATACAATGTTAAATTGACCACTTGCGTAATAGACTAAATTTTGATCTAGACAAAAATTTCATCACAGCTTGAAAGAGCATCACCAAAATAGTAATATGCCAAAGTTTCGTTGCGAAATGTTGTAAAATGCGGATAATATAGCCTTGTGAAGTTTGCAATTTTCAGTCATTTTAGATTACAAACGGGAAATTGACAGCCCAATACCCTTTGGGGCTGTCAATTTCCCGTTTGTAATCTAAAATGACTGAAAATTGCAAACTTCGCAAGGCTATATTACAACATTTCGCAACGAAACTTTGGCATATTACTAATTTTGTGATGCTCTTTCAAGCTGTGACGAAATTTTTGTCTAGACTTGTTTAGATCAAAATTTAGTCTATTACGCAAATGGTTAATTGATGAGCTATAGATGAGAAGACTCCAACGAAATTTTCTAGGGAACTGATTCAGTGTTTGACAATGAGTCCCCTCAAACATTTCTCAAAAATTCTTCAAAACTTAGATTTACTCAATTACCTATGCAAAATTCCTACTGTGATCCAATCTCGTTCCCAGAGTATGCCTGTTCAACCTAACCCGCGAACAGGCATACTCTGGGAACGAGATTGACTGTGATCACAGAAACGTTAATGGTGTAAATCTGCATTAAAGGACACGAAAAAGCAAGACGATGATTCGTTTCCGTATATTGTACTCTTTGAAAACGGCTGACCAGACAATCTTTGAACCATATTAACAATTAACATGCGGGTTGTATACCCGGAAAATGTAAGGCGTGCGGGTAATTGGTGAAGGCGCGCAGGGCTTGGAAAATTTGGTTTACGAGGAGTACATATACTTGGGAAGGTATTTTTAATCATATACAGGACAGAGGAATGTTCATAATTGTTTACAACAACTTCTACGCTTTATATATAAATATCACTATATAGCAATTTGATATCTCTCAAAACTATTTGATCAAAGAAACTTCACAGTGCTACAGTGCTAGCCAGTGTTAATGTTGCCTTCAAGTCATAATAATATCATTTCGTATCTGATTATTCAGTATCACTAACCCGCAATATGAATTTTCGCGTCATATTTCTATCATTCTAAGAAGAAGTGCAATATATCTAAACACCTCATCGGAAGTCGTCCGATATTGTGAATTCATCTAATTCCGGTAACTACACTTATTATAGTGAGAAATTTAATTAAGATGAGGTTTTTTTTTAATATAAAGATATATCATATTTTCCTGCCTCCTAATCCCCAGGCTTTTATGTTTGGCACACATAGGTGGCATATATAGATCAGTAGCATATATAGACCAGTAGCATCGATGCCCC